CACAGGAAGCATTGCAGAACTATTCAAGCTCCGAGAGGCCTTCAATTCATTCTATCCTAATGGGGATGGTAATTAATTTCTTCTTTTATTTTTCTTTTCATGCTATATATGCTTTGAGTTTAGTTTTGATTTTTTTTTTTTTCTTTTTGCAAATTTTAAGAAATAATTGAAAATATTTTAAAATCTTGAAATTTACCTTATTGATGATAAAATAGGGCTTCAAAAATATTGTTCTGGACACACAATAGTTATCGTCCCTCTTATGGATAATATTTATCGTCCCTCTTATTGACAGTCCGCATGGGGAATATTGTCATCATCCCAACAATTATATTTTCCAGCACTACAAATTTTATTGAATCAAGCCAAATACTATAGATTTTTTGGAACTTGTAACAAAAGATAGCATTCAAATGGAAGTACAAACAAGAGGAAGCACTCACAGTGCAGGTTAACTTACAACTTAATCATTCATTTTAATTAGATTCAATATGAAATTAATTCCATGAAATAACAATAAAACAAGGAGTTTCTACTCGACACAATAGCATCATTACAAGTCCAACGATTGTCTTCTTAAGGCAATAAGTAATTCTTGCTGCATGTCTCTGAGCAGGAATCCACGCAGGTCTCAACTTTTTCTTCCCCTGACAATAAATAAATAAATGAGACATTATATATATTTATATATATATATATAGAGAGAGAGAGAGAGAGATTAATTACCTGGGTTTTGTAATGTGCTGATATTGGTGCATAATGAAAAAGCACAACCAAGCTTGCAAAAGTGATGAGTAGTGGACTGAGTTAAGTTTTGAGGAGGAACCTTTGTAAAGATGCATTTAGCCAAGCACACAGCTGCACATGTCTTTAACTGAGGGGGAATATGAAACACACACGAAGCAAAACATTTACCATAGCATTTCGGGAATTTCCAAATAGAGGCACTACACTGCCCTACAAACACCACCAAAACAAACAATACTACAACTGCCCTTAATTTTCCTCCCTCCATCTACTCGATCTATACGTATTGAATTATGATCTTGATAGCTGCTAGATTACAATGAATTATACGTGTCTCTCGTATGTTCTAAGAAGGGTATATATATATAATGTTCCACCTTTGACTAGTTCTTAAAAATTCTTTATTGCATAAGTTTTCTATTGGGGCTATTTATTTTTATGTTAGTGCCCTATTTATTTTGATTTTATTGGGCCTCTTTACTCTATTTAATTTGGCTATTTATGTGATTTATTGGGTTGATTTAATTTTGATATTTATATAATTTATTGGGTTTATTTATAAATTTTATACATTCCAAAATTTCCTTATTTCAATGGCTTGTGTTATCAACTAATCTAACTCTTTAGGTTTTCGTTTCCTTTTTTATTTTTTAAAAATAAAAATTTAAGAAAATTTTAAAAATCCAAGTTATTTTTATTTTTTTTAGATGCACGGTTAAATTTTTTTTTTTTTTTGGAAATAATTTTTTAATATAACTATGCTAAATGAGTTATTTGTATTAATTTTAATTTTAAATTAAGGAGCACCATTTTCTTAATATATATATATATATATATATATATATATATATTATAATAAGGGCATTTTCGTTATTCATGGGTAGTGTTGCAACAAACAAAGAACTTGGGGTAGTTTATGTCAAAATAAATAAATAAATTGGAGGTGGTTTTCCACCAAAAATTGAAAGGAGAGGGAGGTTAAGCAATTTGCCCTTTTTTAATAATGCTTAAGCAATTTTGTATAAAAATAATCTTAATGTTTAGTATTGCTTTTGGCAAGGTGGACTATGTTAAACACAGTAGTGCTAAACATTACACTTTTCGTAAAAAAATATAATGTTTAATGTTTATAGCATCAATTGTGTACAAAGTAACTATTCTCAAATACGGGGGGCTTTCCTCTTTGTGTAGAGGCTTCTTTGTAGGTGCAGAGTTTTCTCGTGTTTTGTCGAGACATCATGGATAGCGAGTGGATCTACTCTTTGACCTGTTCCTGTCTATGTTATCTTCCGTTTTGGGTTGGTGTTCTCATGTTACACACGGGCGTGCCGGATGTTTTCGGTGTCCTCTAGGCTAAGCTACAGGCTATCGTCGTTCTTCAGCCATGGGATCCTGGGGATGGCCTCTAGGTTCATGGTTTTCTTCAACCATGGGATCATGTGGGTTTCTTTCATGGTGCTTGCTATATACATCTCTGGGTGTGGCATCACATCTTTGAGACCTCATGTTTGTTTTTCCATCCTTTTATGGTCTAAAGTTCTCTAATTTGAGTTCCATGTTTTCTCCTATTATCATCAATGTACATATTGAAGATCAAATCGGTTTACCGACTTGGTTACACCGGTACCGACTTTTTACTGGGGGTTGTGCCGTTACTCGGTTGTTATCATCGGCAATTTCAGCAGGTTCATCTTTGCCTCTCTTTCCTTTTGATCCAGGTATTGTTATAGTTGTTTTATTCTCCATTTTTTGTGCTAAATTGCTATTTGTGTTGTTTTGGGTCCTGCCCTCTTTACTAGACATCCTTTGTTTCTTTACATCCAAGTGTTACCTTTCTATGGTTTCCATGACGAATTTACGGCTCAATAGTGGTAGTGATTTGCTTCCTTCTCAAACTATGGAATTTGAACTACAGATGGGTGTTATAAGAAACTTTTCAACGATGGGCAAGCTTTTGGTTCATGGAATTTCTAATGCTTTCTGGGATTGGCGGCGGTTTGTTGTGGCCAAAGGTGTCTCCGCTGCTCAGGTATCGTCGGCAAACATGTCCTTGTCCGCTTGGGTTCTGGTGATCATTTCCTGTCTTCTATCAATAAGAAATACCATGCACTTGTCAAAGGCACTTATGACTTGGTCAATTGTGAACAAGCAATGTTTTGAGGGCTCCTAATTGTTCACGTGGTCCTAGCTCTCTGCCTTTTCTGGCTCCTTGGCAGTCTACTTGGTCAATACAAGTGGGTCTACAATATAAAGGATTTGCCTTTTCATATTATGTTGTGGAGTATGCTTAGTTGTACTTTTGATAAGTTTGTATGTGGTCAGGACCACCGTCTTACCTTACCAAGGGATGACTCATGTAATGCTTTTATGTTTTTATAAAATGTTATATGTTTGCCAAGGAAAAAAAAAAAAAAAATGACTATTCTCAAATACATAATGTATATTGGCCAAAAAAAAAACAAAGGTACCATAATATATATATACCAAATGGGCAATAGCCAAGTTGGTACAAGCCCTCCTCCCTAAATCGGGAGTTCGAGCCTTTATGAAGGCATGGTTAAATATATATATATATATATATATATATATATGCACACACACACACTTGCTAGGATGCGGGAAAAAAAAGTTGTTTAAAAATTCAATCCATATATGCGCGGACACATGTATTCATATTGTTTTAACTGCAATACAAAAAATATATATATAGAGAAGTTATAAAATTTTCTTAATTTCAAGTTGTCTTATCCAAAATAAATTTGGACTCTCAGATTTAAATTCAATTTCAATATCAAGAGTTCAACAACTTATCATGGTCTTAAAAAAAATTTGGAGTTGCTTTGCATTCTAGAAATACTATTGGAACGGAGCTAGGATTTCAAGTCTGGAGAGACACGGTAAATTATTCAAATGTGCACGTTAAAAAGAAGAATTTTCAAAAGTAAAAGTAAAAACAGAAAAGAAAAGTGAGAGAACTTTAAAAAGGAAAAAGTTAAGAATTTTACTGAAGGAAGGAAAATTTAACTTTTTCTTTTAAGAAAATTTAAGGAATTTGAAGAGTGGATAGAAAATAAAGAAAAATAATAATAATAATTTTATAAACCACAAAATTTACGTCCAGGGCGCACGTGCCCCCTAGGCCTCCCTACATCCTACATCGTAGTACAACAATCTCATGATACAGTGCAACGTCATGAAATAACAATGTAATATAATTGTACGCCCCCCCCCCCCCCCCCCCCCCCAAACAACACACACACAAACACCCCTATAAATAATCCAAGAATTGAATGTTTGCACACATACATTTTCACTCACCTAATTCAGGTTTATTTTTTAGGACCCGTTTGGCAACCCTTTCTATTTTGTGTCTTTCATTTCATACAAATGAGAAGCAATTGTTTTGCTGTTGTATAACTTATTCTAAAACAGAATCACATTTGAGAAGCAATGTTTTTACTGCGCAGTAACTTATTTCCAAACAGAATCACGTTTGGTACTGTGTTACATGATATTTCATAAAATAAAATAATAATAAATAAATAAATAAATATTTGGATGAAATAATATTTACATTATATTGGCTTTCTTTAAAGAATCTCTCCACAATTCTTTAGTTATAGTAAGAAAAAAAAGTGAAAACATATTTTTCTTACTTAAAGATTTGAAACTTTTTCTAAAGCAGATGCAGTACTAATGCAAAAGTAAGCAATTATTGTCAAACAAGCTTTCTTCATTTGTTTATGTTTCTCACCTATTTGGCAACAAAAACACAAAACAAAAACAGTTGTCAAACAGGTTAATTTTCACTATTTACCAAACAAGTTTTCAAACCTTTTTTTTTTCCTCCCTTTTTTACCTTCAAGAACAATAAATTATTCCCAAATAACCGAATCAAACAGACTTTTGTAACGCAAAAGCATGGTAGTCCAGGTTGTAAAACTGCAAATCCCAATTACATTGTTTTAAAACCTAACTCATTTTTTCTTGTTTTTTGTCCATACACGGGAAACTCGAACACACGCACACCCGCCCACTCGGGGAGCTGAACGTTCTACCAACTAGGCCACTGGATAATGTCCGTTGGACAAGATCTTAATGACCAAGTGAAAACACTCCCGAGAAGCTTAGGATCAATCTGCTATATAGATAGGGTTTGTTGTTGCGATATTTTTCAGTGTTACAACAAATTCTTCTTTACATCATCACATAATCTGAGTGTCTCACTGCATATAAGATTGTTGGCACCGAAGTTCATACAGAATTCTCCATGAAGCATCTCTATTTAACTAAGTGACAGCCAATAAGTAATAACAAAATTTGGGGCTCAATTTTTTTATCGAGTCCTTAAGAGGCACTACTAAGTCTACAAAGTCTTTGCCGTCTGTTTATCAAAATTCAAAGGCCAACGAGGGTAAACAAAAATTTTCTCATGCCCTATTAAAACTTTCTAATTAATAAGGTACACTACGAAATAAAAAAGTAATTTCTGGCTACAATTTTACCAAATGGCCAGCAGATATCGGGTAGGTCTTGGATCAGATGAATCCTTTTGCGCCTGTGGTGCGAGAAAAGTACAAAGACACATCAGAACTGGCACCTTGGAGACCTGCAAAATAGAAGTGAAACAAAATCGACAAGGTCAGGCAGAAACATTTGGAAGGAAATATAATAGAAACTGACAGGCGTTTGAATTGGTGCACCTTCTGATGGTTTCATGATTCATTTATCAAAGATTGCAATTGTTGTCGGAATGTAGAAACCTTGTCTGCTTCAACAACCATGACTAAACCCATTAGCCTGTAACTTCTTAGCTGCAATGATAGTTATCAGGCAGAGGAAATGAACATTCTGTCAGCCACACTTAACCGGCGCAAAACCACATAGCAAGTTATCCTTATAACTTTTTAATTGCCAGTAACCAAATTAATAAGGTACAAAAGGAAAATGTAACATTCATCCTTATAACAGGAATATGTTTCAGTAATCAGGTCAGATTTGCTTCCAAAAAAACAACCCACTACCCCCACACCTAAGTCACACAGAGCGGGAGTGCAATAATGGCAATGGGAGCGAAAGCACGAGCAAAGCGTGAGAGTGACACCAGTTTAGAATAATTGTCTGTGACTTAGCCCCCCACACACACACAAACCAAACAATTAAAAAAATAAAATGAAATGAGCAAAAGAATAAAAAATAAAAAAGAAGAAGAAGAAGAAGGAAGAACAGTGGTTTTTGTTTTCTTCTCAACTGAAGAAATGAGGTTAAAATAAAAAGTAGCTTTCTTGACAACAAACAGTGTATATTACTCATAACACATCTAGGGAGTAAGCACAGACTACAGTCTACAGAGAGCAGTAATTGGAATCTCCAATTTACATGTAGCATAGTGTCAAGTTCATTTGGCAGTGTATCTAATACTAACACCCAGAACAAAATAATGCAAGGTATATTTCCAAGAAGCTTTGAATCCAAAAATATAAAATAAAACAAGTGAAAGGAACCAGTAAAATGAGGTTCAAGTCAGTTCAATAAAAATATCACAGACCCATTGTAATAGGCTGACATCACTAATACTTGCCTCATGAGGTACATGCTGCTGAGTGCGCAATGGAAAACTGAAAGACCACAAGCTGAGCTGCAACGCGTTTGTAGAAATGATCCGGACATTAAGTGTGAGATGGTGTTATTAGCCAAAATAACGTGTAATACACAGTGGAAGTTCTATATTACGTGTATAAAAACCCGGTACCTTGTGAAAAATTTCATCTTCAGGCTTAACATATATTATAGCTTCATCATTGCTACTACTACTAGCCATCTTTTTCTGGTCTGCACTTTTGTGCTGTACAAGAAATAAAAATAAGATCAACTTCTCTAAGTCATATGAAAACTAGCTAAAAATACAATGGGAATATTATATACTCTATGACCATAAATACCTTGTAGATTTTAGAGACCAGCAGGTAAAACCTAAAGCAAAAGGAATTTTGGAGCTCCTTTGTCGGCTTCAAAAGTGAAATAATGATACATAAGTTTTCTTGGAAGAGACTTTTAGGGTTTAGAGGAAAAAGAGAAATATCTGTTAAGCTCACCCATCTTGTAAAATATTCTCATCTAACCTCGTCTTCGGTAGCCCATGATACTTCATCAAAGAGGGCATCATAAAGAGGTGGCAAAAGCTGTGGAGGAAGATTGACAACACGCTGAGAAACTAAGAGACCCACACTCTGTGCTTGCTGTCCCACAAGTGATCTCAAGTTATGAAGAACATCCTTCTCCTGACATACTTCAAGCAGGAACTCCTTGAGCTCCATAACACACTTATGATCCTAGTAACAACAAAACCATGACTTCTGAGACAGTACAAATTATATACGACCATATATTGGTGCCAAGGTCATTTACAGTTGTCCCAATCGCCAGTCTATCACTAACCACATGGCACCAGATTACACTAGGAGAGGGAGAGGGAGGAGTGGGGCATTTTAAGCTTATTGAAAACAAATAAATAGCCAATTGCCCATCATTTTTTTATAAAAACGATAGCAGCGCCCTTCCCCCTCCAATTTGGAACCATGTCATTGGTAGCTGGCTGGCTATTGCAACAATTTATGTGGAACATTGTCAAGCAATAAAACAGCACCAATAGTAAATATTAGAAGTTTATATTTCTTGCCTTGTATCTTCCCAAGTTAAGGGCAGTAACAACAGAGTAAACTCCATCATCTTCGTCTCCCTCTACTTTAACAACAGTCCCTACCGTTGTTTGTCCCAATATTAAGTCTACAAAACCACTTAAATCCCACTCCTTATCATCAAGGTATGTTTGCAGCAACACCTTCACCCCGTGGAAGTCATCAGGTTTTGGATCAAAGAAAGCGAAATCTGCTTGGACAACTCCCTTGAAAAATACAGAATGTAATCCCATTAAATCACAAACTACAAATGAAAAAACCAACAATGACCAAAACTAATAATTGTGCTTACATCGAACTCTTCTTCGTCAGAAGAATCAGATTGTTCACTCCTATTAGCAAGAGCATAATCGATAAACCCATTACCTAGCAGTACATTTTAATTCATTAAAACTATAAGAAACTTTATTGAAGAAATCAATGACAAATCCAATAAAGAATGCCAGCATTTTGATCATATCAGAAAAGAAAAATATAGAAACTCCAAGTAAACAGTAGATAATACACTAATCTATGAGAGGTTTACCAATACAATGATACCTGTAGATTCGGGGGATGATTTTCTGCGGACCTTGGAGTTATGGGTGTGACGCTTGACCTTGTAAGCAGAGGCAACTCGAGCGACTGAACGACCAAATGGGGAGAAGGTGACCGACTGAGCTTTCAATAATTGGCGTCGTCTTGCTGGCTTTCGAGGCATCTCATTAATCGGTGGCAACCTGAATACCTGCAGCAAAGTTAAGGTCATTGAAAATTATAAAATAGACCTGATGCCCAAACAAGGTTTGAAATTTTAACGTCATTGGGCAAACTTGGCATATATTTGCAATGTTCAAATTCCTGCATCAGTGAGTGGCATGGGCAGGGAGAGCATATAGAGTGCATCTTTGCAGTACTTAATGAGCACAAGATTTGGTAATATGACTAAGCATCACAACAGATTTTTTTGTACTAAAATCAAATTTCAATCTCAAAGGAATTTAAATGACAAATGAAAAGTAGCTGCATCAAGAACCTGAACCAATATTCCCATTTCAGGAGACAGCTCAAAAGAAAAATTAGGCAGCATATTGCATTAAACAATTATGATTCAAAGATATAACAATATAGCTCATAAATTGAAAAAGGAACAAGCCAAAAGTAAAAACAAGTAAAATTCCAAAAGTGAGGAATCCTACTTCATTTTGAAAAACTATGATCCACTCTTTGACAGAATAACATGCAAGCACAAAGAAAGAAAGTTCACACCTTCCAAACATCAATCTTTCGGGTAGCTGAGTGGCAGGATTTGCCAAGTACAGGTGCTAAGCACTGGGAGACAAATTTCAAGAACGATTAATCTAATGTAACTGCTACACTAACCTTCCAAACTGCCAAAATAAATTATTATGTGGAGGGAAGTACTCCCATCACTGAGTTAAGAGTCACTAATTCTATGGGATTACATATATATTTGTAACCACCGTCTATATCAACACCTACCAAATAGACAACTTCAACTTACTCAAGAGTCAAGACGATATATTGGAACAAAATGTACAATGCTTTTTGTCATGTAACCTATTAAAATATTGTAAACTCAAAAAGGTATTTGACTAGACGGTGGATGTCTTCCTCTACTTTAAGTCGAGACATGACTCTGCCTATAAAATAGTTGAGGCCTAGTTTCTAGAAAACCAAGAAAGGGGAGGTAATACTCACCTCAATGCATAGTAGCACCTAACCTATGCCAATTTTGGCGGACCGTGCTCCACCCCGGTGAACTCATGTGGTTCCGACGTGCCCAGAGGCCATAGGCGAATCCGTTCACGGTCCGTAGGACCAACACCATTCGAAGGTGGGTGGCCTGCCTAGAACAGTCCATGTTTGACTGGGCTTACACGCATTCGCTCACTTACACTGTCCTCCCTCAGCTCACCATAGCCCTTGGGCCTTTTGCTCTTCTAACGTCAGCTCCAAGGCTTCACACTTCACTGACATAATATGCATGCTTAAGTAGGGTCAGGCAGAACCGTTGTTGCCTGATGGGAACTTCCCCCATATTGCTATCAATGTCTTCATGTCGCACGACCTCTTAACATTACACCACTGAATCCCCAATCCTTTGCGTTATTAAACGCGCAAGACAAACTAAGGCGCAAGGGTCTCTTGGAGCCTAGGCACAAGGAGAGGCGCAAGCCTGATTGATTAAAGGCTCGTGTAAAACATGCAAATAAATCATACAGTATTTCAAATTTGGAAAGGAAAAAAACAAAAGCAAAAAAACACACACAAAAAAAGGGAATAATACAATTATTTAAATTTTAATTATGAATTATATAACCACAAGATTCACAGCTTATAAGAGTCATTAAGGCAAGAGCATTAACATGTCAAATAAAGCACATGCAAAATTTTGAAATTCACATATGATAATTTATCATCAACATATTACATATTCAGCAATGAAAAAAGTGTCCATACAATGAAAGACAGGGAAAAGTACCAAAATTTCCTCACATAAGAAGTTGGTAAAATATCCACAGATAGTACTGCTTGTACACAAACTTGTCTCATACATTTACACTAGTATAGTCCTATGTTCACAAATTCGCAAAGTTTCATCTGAATTAACAACAAGAATAACCAAGTACCCTAATTTTGCACATTTAACTACCTTGTGGTCAAGCAACAATTTACAGTGACACAGAAGCAACAAGTTACAGCAACACAGAAGCAACAATTTTAAAATAATAAAATAAATAAATAAATAAATAAAAAGGCAGAGCAAAAAAGAAGCAACAACTATGCAGTACTGGAAGTATGCAACATAATAAGGGAAAACTCAACCAAGCTGTTGAAAACAGAGGAGAAAAATAGAGGAAAGAGGAAAAAATTGGGCTTTGTTGAAGAAATAATGAGAGAAAAAGAGTAGGAAAGAGAGAGTTAAGGCTTTGCTGAGGGAGAAGAAAAAAGGAAAATCTGTTGGGAAAAAGAAGATTCTGTGATGTGAAGAAAACGATGGGAAAATAGAGAAAAGAACAAATAGAGGATTTATGTTGTAAAAGGGGGAGAAAAAGAAAAAGAGAAACTAGGGTTTTATTGGATATTAGGGTTTGCATCAGAGGAGGAGAAGAAGTGAGAAATCACCTAACGACTTCAGCGTTCTTCACTGCTGATCGTTTCCCGCACAATCTAGAATTTCATGTGAACTCGCACCCACTGCTCACTATTATTCTTCACTGCTTGGTTGCATGAATTGGAAATCCCCAGTTTTTGTTTTTTCGACAGTCATGAGATGTAAATCAACTATACAACGTATACATGTACATCAACCTTTTTTTATATGGTTTTCTTAAATTAGTGGACTCAAAATTTTCTATTATTAAAGAAGACAAAAATAAAAAATAAATAAATAAATAAACCAAAGACAATCAATAGATAGAATTTTTTTATCGTTTTTTTGTAAAAGAAAGGGCTATTCCTTAGATCCTCTTTTGTAAATTTGAGTGGCCTGTGACAATTAATCATAAATTCCGAAGTACCAAAGTTAACAAAAGCCCTAGATCAAAACTATGATGACGAAGAAACAGTTATCATTTCCTTTTGCATTGTTCAGTGGCTCGGGATTGTTGGGATTGTTTGGGGTTCAATGGGTTATGCCCAAGTCTTCGAGAGGCTTGGTTGAGGCTTGGAGAGGTTGTATGGTCGGGTCACGCCTTCTGGAGGCTTCGAGAGGCTTCGTGACTTCTGGAGGGTCACGCCTTTGTGCGTACGGTATGGTGGTGTCTTTGGATTGAAAGAAATAGGAGATCCTTCGAAGGAAAGGGGAATCCTATTGGGTCATTGTAATTCTCTATTCTAAGTACCCTTTTTTGTTGGGTTCTAGGGAGAAATTGTAAATCCATGGAGGAACTTGTTGATTTTTTTAACTCTTTTGAGGGTCTAAGGCCCCTATTTGGCCTTGTTTAGCTTTTGAGAGACGCATTCCCCTTTTGTACGCTTTCAATTCATATTTAATTATCAAAAAAAAAAAAAGATCAAAACTTTAATTTTTTTGGCTCAACTCAAAATTTTCTTATTCCTCTATAAGACTGATGTTTACATTTGTAAAAATTTGATTTAACAATTTGGTGAATTTTTTTTTTTTTCCCCCAACTTTTTTCGACATACAATAGATGAATTGATTCAACTCTCATGTTTAGCAACACTGAGTTACTTTTGAATTAATAGCCACTGGTGTGAAGGCTAATTTTTTGTAAAGCAGCTTGATTACTCTCATGACAGAATTATTATTTATTACATGTTGATTTAAGCAAATAAAAAAGGAAATAGTGTATTAATAAAGGTCGAAAGCAGCTAAAATTCATTTATCTGTACCCAGGTCAGTTACATTGTGTGACTGCCAAATGATCAAGTACAATTAGCAGCAGAAAGACAATTGTGGACTTGTATAATCTAATATATGTCTGTCCATCAAGAATTTCTTTGAATGCATAAGGTGATGCACAAAATATGAATGCATCTAGAGAACTAAATAAATCTTTAACCAGCATACCTAAGATTTAATATTTCATATGCATTTGAAAAAGATATAATAAATAATGATGACGCAATTAACGTAACTATGGTTAGCAGGTTTACTATGAAAAAGGAAATATTTAAGAGACAGACAATTGCTAATCAAGTACTAAATGACAGCAACGTTTGTTTTTTTGTCATGCATTTCATTTATGTTCCTTGTACGCTTTTTTCTGCATTTGGTTTGTGGGAAAGTATTATTGATTTCTTGGTTTTCAGCTATCCTAATTAAACATGCCCAATCGTTTAAACACCTAATGATCTTAGCATGAAGATCTTTTTTTTTTTACCCCAACCAGCAATAACCTCAGAAGAAGAGGAATCAAAATTCAGAACATCAAAAGGCCAATTAGGCCAAATCCGCCACTCATAATCTGTGACTTTTTGGCTTAACACCCACTTACTCACACTATGAGCTACCCCGTTACAGTGTCTAGGGACCCAAACAAGCTTCCAATCAAGATCATTCTTAGATTACTCATAAATGAAGAATATTGGTCACATAAATGTAACAATATCAGGAGAGTTCATAAGTCGACTCGGAATCAGCTACTTGCCAGTGATTTTTTTTTTTTTTTTTTTCCAATCATTAATAAATTAATGAAATTCAACCAATGAAAGATAAAATTAACTATAAGTAAATTTAAATAAATAATAACGGTACGAGCCCTGCAACAAAAAAAGAAAAAAAAAAAGTATAAAATTGATAAACCTTATACAAACACTTCCCATCTTTCTATTTAAATGCTATTCATCTTCTTTTCATATCTAAACACACAAAATATCTTATGTCGTCACTATTGACTCTCTCTGACCTGTCATTTTGGTCAGATCATTGCAGATTTTTCATAACATCATCCAATGCTTCACGATGGCAACATCGAGGAGATGAATTGTCTAAAATCATTCAACTGTTGTTATTCATTGGTAGTTTTGGGTGTGACAAATAGTTCCTGGGATGGGTTGAATTGCTCGCATTTTATAATGTAGCCCAAAAAATATTTGTCCATGATATCAAAAAAAAAAAAAAAAATTAGCATCTACACTTGAATAACAACAATCTATGCTTGGGTGTTATTTTTAACATCTACGCTTCAATAAGTTACTTATTCAAAGTAAATATATCAATTAAACCTTCAATGGCTTCCCTGAGGAATTTAAATCCCAATACGAAGTAAACAAAAAATTGCTCAAGTAGAGGGTGAGATGCTAAATTCAGAAATAAATAAATAAATATATATATATATATTACACACACATGCTAATGCATAGATATGGAACTATACGTATATAATAAATATATACTACAATAACAATAAGATAACAATAGACAATATAATCAAAGAAAAGAGGTTGAGAAGTGTACCTGAGTTGCTGTGAACAGAGCAGCAAACAGGAGAGGCGAGAGAGAGATTGAGATTGGGGAGAGGCGGAGGGTTTTGAGTTCGGAGTCTTCTAGCGAGAGAGTGAGTGAGTAATAAAAGAGGGAAGGTTTTAACAGAAGAAGAAAAAATGCAGTCGTGTCGAACTACTAGGGCTTTGTCATGGGTGCAAGTTGGTCGGCCCAACCTGAACCTGGTACCAACCAAACCTCAGCCCGACCACGAGCCATAACGGGCCAACCCAGCGACCTATGAACGGGCCGGATCAATCCAAATCCAAAAAATTGACGGCTTGGACGGGTTAATTGGGTTGATCTTCTTTTCTTTTCTTTTCTATCCAACCCAATATAAATCCCAAATTTCCTCCTTCACCAACTCAAGGCCGACCCTAAGATTTCAAATATTTTGAGAGGCCTTATGCGAACTTTCAAATGTGAGGCCCTTAAGTTTCACATGTGCAAAAAAAAATTATAAGAGTGCGGAATTTTCACACAATGTTTTAAAATTTTATAGCTAATATAATTATGCGCTTGTGTATTATGCATAAGACAACTAACTAATAACTATAAATTTATCGCCACCAACAAATAATTGTGCGCCTGTACAGTGTGCATAAGAGAACTACCTAATAACTATAAATCTATCCCCACCAATAAATAATTGTGCGCTAGTGTGCTTAAGACAACTAACTAATAACTATAAATTTTTATCACCACCAATAAATAATTGTGCACTTGTGCAGTTTGCATAAGACAACTAACTAATAACTATAAATCTAACACCACCAATAAATAATTGTGTGCCTGTGCAATGTGCAGGTAACTAATAACAACAAATCTATCAATTAAAGAGTGCAAAATTTTCACAGGCACAAAAAATTTATAAGAATGCAGAATTTTCATTAATATGAGATGATAAGAACATAAAATATATTAATGTTAAAGGCATACAAAAGAAAACCCAGTCTTGGAGCTTTAAAAAGAGCACAATCCAATTTACATCAAAAAAATTAAAATGAAATATTCATCACAATTTAGTCACAAAAATCAAAATTCAATTTTATATCAAAGTAAATGTTCAAGGCAAATCACCTCAAGAGATCCTAAGAATAGTGTCCTCAATATGCAATGATCTGATTCGAGTTCAAGGCAAATAACCTCACCAGATCCTAAGAAGAGTGTCCTGCTAGCATGTGAAAGAAGATCACAATTAACATAAAACGGATGGAGAATCAAATGTAAACAATAATAACTAAGCATTGCCGATCATACAATAAATATAATATAAAAATAAAATAAAAAATCTAAAATCAAGCAGTTTGGTCGAATGATCTCCTGACTGGAGTTTTCACTGGAGCTTTGTGTGTGTGTTTTTTTTGGGAGCCAAATAACCTTTCTTGATTTCAGGATGAGGAATCAACTTTAGTAGCAGTGATTGATTGATCATTGCTACAGAAAACCTGTGCAAATTAATAGAAAAAACCATTAACTTTTGTTTAAAGCCTGCTCTTGATTTCCACGTGTTTGTACATTCTGATGGCAAGTGCTTTGACAGTATTATTAACTGAAATTCTAGCTGAGCCAACTTCAAATAACATCAATAATGGTGGTATGTATCTTCATATAAAAAAATAAAATAAAATAACCCTTAATTTGGCACTTTTAAGTAGGAGCATAATTTAGAGATCGAAAAAGTTAATTATTACCTCAGGTCCTCAACTCACTAGAAGGAATCCTTAATTTTCGTAGGATTGACTCTGAAAATGCAAAAAATTATGAGGAAAAGAGGTATGGTTGCTGCTGTTGTGAGACTGGAGTGGACTTACGGAGACGAAAAAAAAAAAAAAAAAAGATCAATTCATGCAAAAGGAGAGAGAAGAGAAAGAGAGAGAGAGAGAGAGAGAGAGAGAGAGAGAGGATGAACATACCTTGTCACGGTGTCACCTGAGCCTAAGGCGTTAGCGGAGGCTGCGTCCTGCGGAGCGTCGTAGGGGATGAGAAAAATAAATAAATTTAAGTTAGGGCAAGTTTTTCAGACAACACAATCTGCTTCGACACTTTGCAGGACGCAGCCTCCGCTATGGCCTCTAAAATTTGAGGCCCAAGCCGACCAAGCCTTGCCCTAATTAAAGGGAGAGGGGTGGCATGTTCGCGGGTCTTCTTTATCAACCTAAGTCCATGTTTGATGTCAGTTAATGAAATTAAATGAGGTGGGAATTAAATGCTTTTGTTTTCAATCTTTAGTCTAATAACTTACTTTAAATTTAGAATGATGATTCTTGTCCATTCTCCGAGAATGGTAATTCCCACTAATTCATTCAACTAATTCCATTCCCACTTTAAAAATAATAATAATAAATATATGAATAAAAAAAGTATTTAATAAAATGTCGACTACATATATATATGTAGTCGATATGTAGTCGACATTTTATTAAATACTTTTTTTATTCATATATTTATTATTATTATTTTTAAAGTGGGAATGGAATTAGTTGAATGAATTAGTGGGAATTACCATTCTCGGAGAATGGACAAGAATCATCATTCTAACTTTAAAGTAAGTTATTAAACTAAAGAATGAAAACAAATATATGTTTATATATATGTATATATATATACACATATATATATATATATATATTTATATATGTTTTACAAAAATATGATTTTTTTCTGCACAACCAACCATGGGAATGAGAATGGACATGAACATTCCATTCTCATTCCCTTCTCTGATTCATTCAATTCCTACTTTATTTCATTCAACCACACCAAACTAGTCCTAAAGGTATTATATTATACGGTTCAATCCAAATATGATACGTTAATAATCGTGTCAGGATCTGTCAATACTAACACGACCTATTTATTAATAACCCGTTTAATGACCTATTTACTGAAAGAAAATATTATATTATTTAAATTATTAATAATACTCGATCAAATAATAAATACTAAAAAAATATAAATTTTAATCCAACCAATTTATTTGAGCATGACGAGGTTATGACTTATTGGAATATAACATGATGAGGTTTGGTGGTGCTGCCCCAAGTACCTTTAGTTGCCCCCGCCCTATGGTGAGTTCGACTCCCCTCCCATAATTACGAACCCTCTAACTAAGGATGGCAATTTGACTCACCCCGTCCCGTCTCGTTTTTGACGATTTTGGGGGACCGTTTAGCTTATTTGGGGCAGAATGATTTGATGTAATAAAAACTCGTGCGGGGCTGGGGGAGTCGTCCCGCCCCTTTAAGATAGACAAACTACTTAAGTACCCTTATTTCATCAGTATATATATTTCCCAGTATATATTTAGTACCCTTATAATAATATTAAAGTAAAGGGTTAATTTCACTGATCAATGTTGTAAGAATTATATGTACCACTCGCAAGTGCACGAATCTTTGCAGATAGGGTTTACTTGAAGGGTGTCGTACCCAAGGAATTTGTGTAAAATAAGTTTGTCAACAGATTTCTTAAATTCCAAATTAATTTGAAAGTAGGATAATCAAATTGTGATCTCTAATTCTAAATTAACTAAGTAGAAAAATAAAATAAACTAAAGAACAATGATTAAATAGGATGTAGAAAATAGAGAGAGAGAGAGAACTAGGGGTATGATTTCACCACTAACGTCGCACCACCAGTCAATTCTATTAATTTATTGGAGATATATCATATAACATGCACAGGGAATTAATCATGGCTACAAGCACATATTAATTCAGTTAGAAAATAATATAATTTAAAGCTAAGCATAGACTATCTTCGATTGGCATAAACCATCTACCTAACTACTTTACTCTAGGGTGTAGCATGGTCTATCTTTTCTAGGCATAATCCATCAAATCTTTAACATTATATTCAGAGAAAAACCATTGTGTAATCATCTCATTCACAACTACAAGAAGTAAATGAGTTGTGTTCAATCACAAGATTATATCTAAGACAAGATAGAAAAATATTTGTAATTAAATTAAAACTCTAAAACCGATTGTTATTGAAAAGTCAATTAAAAATCCTATAGATTACACAATTATGCATGATAAAAATTGTTCTCTAATAATAAAATACAATCAAACCAGTATGCTAAGCTAGGGCTACATCACAACCGTAGCAAAACGTTTAGCCAAGCATGACTGGAGTGGAATTCTTCATGGTTGAGGAAGACGTCTTCACCGCCATGGATTGATCCCTTCCTTCTTTTGAATGTTCCTCTCTAATCTTAGCCTGAAGCTCCTCTGTATGATGATTCAGTGCTGTAGAGGACTTCTTTAATAATAAAAGATCAGCCTTAAAGCTCTATTTTTCATATAGAAGACATACATAGAAATTCTGCCAAATAAGGACTCCAAAATCGTACAGACTTCCAGTCCAATTTTGACAAGGTAAACAGCTGTTTTATGGAATCCTCGTGAAATACAAAATTATAGCTCTTCAAATTTCCTTTCAACTTATGCTAGAATTTAGTTGTTTTTGACGCTCAAGGAGATAGATATAGCCAGATTACCAAAACGGGTTCAAGTTACCAACTTTAGCAAAAGTTTCCTTTTTGGAGATGGATTTTTTCTTTTCTTCTTCTTTCCATTCTTATCAACTTGTGGCTTCTTTTGGACTATTTTCTAAGTATAATTAGACTTGGATCTTCAACATTACTCGGTCCCACAGAATGTCATCTTTTAAAGCTCAGAATCACTGGTCTTGACTGGTTTTACAATTAAAGCCCTGAAATAAATAAAAACAATAAAACAATGTAAAATCTAAAACAAACTACTACAAAATGAATAAAACATGTAAGTTAAGGGGTTAAAATGTATAACATTTAACGCCTAACACACCCCCAAACTTACATATTGCTAGTCCCATAGCAATAAAACTAAAGAAAACATAAATGCCGCTCTCGTGGCAATCATGATTGCATTTAGCGTATGCAACAAGCCTTTTAAACCCCTAGGTTACCCCTAGTGGACGAGTGAAGTCTCATGAGAGTTTCCAGAGATGATACCCACAAACATACAACATAATTCAATCCTTTGGCAATTAACTTATTCGCATATCATCACAATAATCAAGGGGAAGACTACACAAAAGTACTTTAAAAATTATCATCTGACTATACTCTTTAGTCTCTATTTTCATACTTCATCTCAATGTTCCCACACACTTATGTAACAAGAACAATAGCAAAATCAATCCCCAATGTTGTGAAATTTGTGAACTAGCAAATCACCTGTGTAATAATGTCTTTTCAATTGAACCCAACTTCTATAACTTCAATTCCTCATATCTTTTCTTAAGCTATTTTCTATTGCAAATTATTATTTATTTCTTTTTCTTTTTCTTTTTTTCTTTTTTTTCACTTATCCTTACCCCCACTTCTTCATGCGAACACTCTATGCTTATAAGACATGAGCCCCGATTACTCCATGAACGGGTTCCAAATTTATTATTATTATTATTTAATATCTATGCCATAGTAATAACCTTCAAAGTTCACCAATTCATATCTATCCATAATAATCAGAATTCAACCAAAAATATATATACCCATAGATAAAATTCTAGTGTGCATATGAAATCCATCAGAGACTGACAATTACTAAAATTCCTATCATAGTAGATAATGGAACCCAAATAAAATAAAGCATGAAAATTAGGGATTCAAGATGAACTCAGAAAAGAATTTTTTAAAGTACTTAAGTGTCTTAAACCCCCCCTCCCCCAACAAACAATTCTCAAATACTTGAATTAAAGTCAATATGCCAAAGAAAAATAATTGATTTTTTTTTTTTTTTTTTAATGTTTTACTACTGGCAATGAATTAAACCAGTCCTTCGCCTTGTCCTTTAATGAAAAGGAGACTTGACCACATCATCGCCAAAGTTCTGGATCTTTATTGTTCTGCACACCTCTGCAAAGTCATCCAAGTGCCGGTATGGATCCTCTTTTGATAGGCAGTAACTAAAGAGTACTGGCCTTAATTTCATAGTGAGGGGCCCTCACATAAGGATACCGAACTGCAGATGAAGAGTTGTATGCACCTGGTTCGTAGTGAGATTTTAAATAGCGAACTGCTTCTGCAGTTGGTGGATTATCCGCCATCTTTTCTTTTTTAAGGCCTCCAAAATCTTTCTTCAAGTTTCTGAGAGTCCTTTCGAGTTCTGGGTCTAACAAAAGTTGAGGGAGTGACAAAGAACATCTTCCAAACATATAATGTCACCTGCAATAATTAAAAGAAAACAATATCAAAATTAATTAATTAATTAATTAAATTAAATTAAATTAAAATCCTAAACTAAGATCCTAATTGAAATTAATTGTAAAATTTAATATTATCTATCAAGAACTAAAACAATTTCCCGGCAACGACGCCAAAAACTTGTTATGAGATTTATATGTACCATTCGCAAGTGCACGAATATTTGCAGATAGGGTTTACTTATAAGGGTGTCGTACCCAAGGGACTTGTGTAAAATAAGTTTGTCGACAGATTTTTTAAATTCCAAATTAACTTAAAAGTAGGATAATCGAATTGTGATGATTACTTCTGAATTAACTAAGTCGAAAAATAAAATAAACTAAAGAATAATGATTAAATAGGATGTAGAAAACAAAGAGAGAAAGAACTAAGGGAATGACTTCACCACTAACGTAGCGCCACCAGTTAATTGTATCAATTTATTGGAGATATATCATATAACATGCACAGAAAATTAATCATGGCTACAAGCACATATTAGTTTAGCAAGAAAATAATATAATTTAAAGCTAAGTATGGACTATCTTCGATTGGTATAAACCATCTACCTAACTATTTTACTCTAGGGTGTAGCATGGTCTATTTTTTCTAGGCATAATCCATCAAATCTCTAACTTTATATTCAGAGAAATACCATTGTGTAATCATCTCATTCACAACTACAAGAAGTGAATGAGTTGTGTTCAATCACAAGATTAAAATATCTAAGATAAGATAGAAAAATATTTGTAATTGAATTAAAACTCTAAAACCAATTCTTATCGAAAACTCAATTAAAAATCCTATACATTACACAATCGTGCATGACAAAAATGGTTCTCTAATAATTAAATACAATCAAATCAGTGTGC